GTTCGGACAGACAGCTCAAACACAACCCAGGTAGAAAATGGCCACCCAACCAGACCACTATTTCCATCCCATATGTCGCCATATGTGGGATATATTTGGGACAACTTGGACATATGACCCAGATAGAAAATTGCCACCCAACCAAGGTTGTCTAGCACCTTCATTTCCAGCCCATATGTGGGATAGAGTTGAGACTGCCCAGACACACCTCCATTTCCAGCCCAGATTTAGGCTCAGGTCCGAAAGGGCGTGGGTTCAAACCCCACAGCTGTTATACTTTTTTGTCTTGTTTTGTTTTATTTTCAACGTTCTTTTTCTCCTCTTGTAAATCCATGAATCGTGTAAAAATGCACTAATCATTTCTAGATTAGATCATGGAAATTCTTCAAGCCATAACCTTCCCATTCTGCCCACTTCCTACACTTTCAACCATTTTCATTTTTTGTCTTGTTTTGTTTTATTTTCAAAGTTCTTTTTCTCCTCTTGTAAATCCATGAATCGTGTAAAAATGCACTAATCATTTCTAGATTAGATCATGGAAATTCTTCAAGCCATAACCTTCCCATTCTGCCCACTTCCTACACTTTCAACCATTTTCATTTGAATTTCCTTTTTAGAAGAAAAAATATATTCCTAGAAATTTTTCATATCCCCAAATGTTAAACTTTTATCACATTTAGTACTATCCTCTCTTCCTCCCCCCCACCTCCTATTATACCGCAGGGCCTCTGGTAGTCACTATAAAGGTATAGTCTTTCATGAGCGCAGGGCTCTAGCAATGTTTCGAGTCACTAAGAGATGCTTAAGGAAGATTTCGCTGGAGCATAGTCTGGGACCGTGACGATCGCTAGTCTAGGAGTAAGAGTATCTTCAACCCCCCCCCCTCTACAATTCCCCCTATTTGTTCGGACAGACAGCTCAAACACAACCCAGGTAGAAAATGGCCACCCAACCAGACCGCTATTTCCATCCCATATGTCGCCATATGTGGGATATATTTGGGACAACTTGGACATATGACCCAGATAGAAAATTGCCACCCAACCAAGGTTGTCTAGCACCTTCATTTCCAGCCCATATGTGGGACAGAGTTGAGACTGCCCAGACACACCTCCATTTCTAGCCCAGATTTAGGCTCAGGTCCGAAAGGGCGTGGGTTCAAACCCCACAGCTGTTATACTTTTTTGTCTTGTTTTGTTTTATTTTCAACGTTCTTTTTCTCCTCTTGTAAATCCATGAATCGTGTAAAAATGCACTAATCATTTCTAGATTAGATCATGGAAATTCTTCAAGCCATAACCTTCCCATTCTGCCCACTTCCTACACTTTCAACCATTTTCATTTTTTGTCTTGTTTTGTTTTATTTTCAACGTTCTTTTTCTCCTCTGGTAAATCCATGAATCGTGTAAAAATGCACTAATCATTTCTAGATTAGATCATGGAAATTCTTCAAGCCATAACCTTCCCATTCTGCCCACTTCCTACACTTTCAACCATTTTCATTTGAATTTCCTTTTTAGAAGAAAAAATATATTCCTAGAAATTTTTCATATCCCCAAATGTTAAACTTTTATCACATTTAGTACTATCCTCTCTTCCTCCCCCCCACCTCCTATTATACCGCAGGGCCTCTGGTAGTCACTATAAAGGTATAGTCTTTCATGAGCGCAGGGCTCTAGCAATGTTTCGAGTCACTAAGAGATGCTTAAGGAAGATTTCGCTGGAGCATAGTCTGGGACCGTGACGATCGCTAGTCTAGGAGTAAGAG